GAAAGAGCAGAAGGTCAAACAATAAATAGAACTGGGATAACGTTGTTGATTGCCATCAAGTCAGGCACGATAGTGACCCTATGAACAAAATCCCTGAAGCCCTTCTACAACTATTGTTCTTTCTCACAGTTCATAAGAGTTTCTAGAGGCATGTTGTTTAGGAAGTGGATGCCACTCTTGCTTCCAAGGGCTAACATAAGGAAGTATAAAAAACAAAACTGGCAGAGATCTAGAAGGAAATCTGTTGTGGAAAAATCAAAGAAAATGACATATAAACTAAGTCTATTCTTCTATTAATTAACAGTTTCTATTGCTATAAAAAGAGAACATTAGCTCTATTGATATGCAAATATCCTAAGATAAATTTAGGAATCATAAAAATACCAAATATAATTTTTAAGTACATGCATACAATTTTCTGAGGGAGGAAAATAGCTGACATTGGTATGGTGAGTGGACACAGTGAGGAATACTCTGTGGTTGTAGACTAAGCTAATAACAGACACCCTGACACCTATTTAAGGACTTGCATACTAGACAAGGCCTATAGAATATGTGGAATGACTCATACATTAGGGTCAGATTTCTGTGGTTTGGATTTTGCTATAAAATGAGTTAAAAGACTGATGGAATACATTTTTCTCCATTTTACCCTCAGAGTGCTCTTTAGAATTAAGCGTTTTTTTCACCTCTACAATGTTATTGTTGTAGTTTTGTCACAATGAGTCCCTTGCAACATAGCAACCCTATGTACAATAGCTCTGAATCCTGCCTTACCTTGAGCCAATCTTAATAACTCCTACAGACTTAATCCCATTTCTCTAGTCACTGAGTCAATCCATCTTATCATGACTATTCTTGTCCTGTGCTGCCCCTCTACCCCTGCAAGCATAATGTACTTACTTCTCCAATGACTGGTCCCTCCTCACAACATGCCCAAAGTATGTGAGATGGAGCTTCAAATTTCATGCCTCCAAGGAGCAGCCTGGTTTCAGTCTAGGAAAGATATGTTTGTTCTCTTAGCAGTCCATGGTATGTTCAAGACTCTTCTCCAGCACCACAACTCAAAGGCATCAATTATTCTTCTATCATCCTTGGTCATTGTCCAGCGCTCTGGTATGTAACAAGTAATTACTAAGACCATAACTTGGATTAGGTTCACCTTAGTCTCTAGACTGACATCTTCATTACTCTGAAGAGATCCCTGATAGCAGGTTTTCCCAATGCAATTTGTCTTTTGATTTCTTAGCTGCTGGTACCAAGAGTGTTGATTGTGGAACCAAGCAAACTGAAGCTGTTTTATTGAAGGGGTGGGTGGCGGCGGATATGAAGTTAGGTACCAGAGCTCCCTTTTACGTCCACAGGGGTTCTTTATTCCTGTTCATTTGACTTTTATGTATTTGAAAATTTCAAAAGTAGAAAGGCTGGTTTTAGAATATGTCTTTAAAAAATTATTTGAAGGGGGAAGCATAAATATTTGTAATGTAATTACGTGCTATGCATCAGAGAGTTGGACAGTGAATAGGGATGATAGAAAGAGAATTGATGCCTTTGAGCTGTGGTCCTGGAGAATAGTGTTGAATATACCATGGACTGCTAAGAGAACAAATAGGTTTGTCCTGGAGAGGGTGAAGCCAGAATGCTCCTTGAAGTCAAGGATTCTGAAGATTCATCTGACATACTTTGGACATGTTGCAAGGAGGGACTGGTCCTTGGAGAGGGGCAACATGTTTGGGAGAGTGGAGGGATGGCGCAGGAGAGGAAGACCCTCGATGAGATGGATTGATTCTGTGAGTGGAGTGGTGGGAATGAATCTGTTTAAGACAGCAAGGTTGGCACAGGATAGAACGACATTTAGGGCTCTTGTACATAGGGTCTCTATGAGTCACAAATGACTCGATGGCACATAACAACAACAATGTGACTATTAAGCTAAGTGAACAAATATATGTATTTTATTTTTCTCTATATTGTATTTATTTTAGGAAAAAATGAGGGAACGAAAGACAAGAAAAAAGGAAAGGAAGAAAGGAAGGAGGAAAGGAAGGGAGGGGAGGGGGAGGGGAGAGGGGAAGGAGGGAATCGAGGGGAGGGGAGGGAAGGGAGAAGTTTGGAGAAAGCAAAAGAAAAACTAGACTGAGAAAGCAAGCCCATGTCATTTGTTTCATCTCCCTTCCCTGGGTGGTGAGACATAATTGCATTTCTGCTATTTTAATACCAACTTTGATGTTAACACTTCAATAAATGAAAGATTTTACATTAATATAAGGAGCAACTTCTAATAATTAGAATTATCAACAGCCCTACTCCTGAAAGGGGCTAGTTGGAGGCTAATTGACCTCAGGGATCACTTCCAACTCTGATTTATAAAGTCTAGTTTTTTAGTTTGTATCATTCCTTCACTTTTGAAACTAAATATTCTATAACTTCCTTTGGTAGATTTTATTTGCTACATAAAGTTATTCACTTAACATTTCTTTATAAACAACAGAGGGAAACAAAGTATAACATACAGTTTAGTGAGGATAGGAATAGCAGGAAAAAAGAGGAATAAAGATAAAATTACAATGTTGGTTGTTGATGTTTACCTTTGAGTCTGAAGATTCATAACTAATCCTCCGTTGGATTTTCAGAGGGAGTAAATAACATGGGAGATGATTGTTCATCTTTCTCCTATAGAGTATCTGGAGTATTTGAACTACATACCTTTTTGTTGACAGCGCAATTCCTTACCACCAAGCCACTGCTACCTTCAAATGTTTTTAGATGGTAACCCAGAAATGACAGAAGACACCACAGAAGAAGCAACACTTAAACTAAGGAAGCCACAGAAGAGGCAACACTTAAACTAATTCTGTGTTAAAGAAAAAAACAAAAACACAGCAAACCAAAACTTTGTATAAAAATATAAAGTTGGATCAGCAGATCACTCATCCTGTAAGAACAAAAATTATATAGGGTATCCATACAACAGGGTCTGTAGAGATTAAGCAGGACAAGGATATTTTGCCTGTAAAAAGAATGTAGAATTGCTTCTGAGAAGTAATAGTAGGTGAAAAAAGCAGAGTGCCAAAATCCAAATGTTTTTTACTGTTGAGTTTTTTTTCTCCTCTTCTGTTTATTTTGATCTTTTTTAAAATGTAAATTTTTTTGGGTGTGTGATTTTAATAAAAGTTGGATTTTACTATTTTTGTGGCATGGGGTTATTGATTACATCTTTCAGGACTTTGTTGAATTATTTTATTTCATACAGCAGGACATTAACAAAGTGGCTTAAAAGAGCACAGGGTTTAATTTATCCTCAGATAATGAGAATACATCGCAGTTGGTAGAACCTCTCAACAAAATAATTCAAAACTAGACTTCTTTGCTTTTGTCTTACCATTCTTAGATTTGGGGCCTCTGGTCCTTATAAGTAAGTTGCACTCCTAACACAAAGGCTGCGTGTGTCTGGTGGTTTGAGTCCAACAGCAACTTCAAGGCAGGCTCCTCCTGTGATCATTGACAGCCTTGGAAAACTGATGGAGGGTTGCTGTGGGTCAGCACTGACTCAACAGCATGGAGTCTTGAGACCCTTAGGTTGGAGGCCTTCATTAAGATCTTTAAATCTAAAGTACCTTCCAGATAGGAAGATGGCATAAGGCCAAAGGTATGCACCAAATGAGTCTGCCTTTTTATATCAGAAAGATAGTAAAGTAATTTTTTCGAATCCCTTTCTAGCCCTGAAGCGCCTGCTGCAGGAGGTAAAGGACTGCAGCCTTCTATAGAAGTTCAACATCAAGAAAACAGATTCTCACCCCTGGGACAATTGTCAGCATCAGGATAGATGGTAAAGAGATTGAGATTGGTAACAGCTGTGGTTTACTTGGCTCTACAATCAACATTCTTGGTACCAGCAGCCAGGAAATGAAAAGATAAATTGTATTGGAAAGTCTGCTGTCAGAGACCTCTCCAAAGTACTGAAGAGCAACCATGTCAGTCTGGAGACTAAAGGGTGCCTGATAGAGGCCATGGTCTTTGCAGTCACTTGGTATGCATCAGAAAGCTGGACAATGACTAGGGATAATAGAAGGAGAATTGATGCCTTTGAGCTGTGGTGCTGGAGAAGAGTATTGAATATACCATGGACTGCTAAGAGAACAAACAAGTTCATCCTAGAGAGGGTTAAGGCAGGCTGCTCCTTGGAGGCAAGGATTCTGAAGCTTTATCTGGCATACTTTGGACATGTTCCAAGGTGAGATCAGTCCTTGGAGAGGGATGTCATGTTTGGGAGGGTGGAGGGACAACACAAGAGAGGAAGACCCTCCATGAGATGGATTGATTCAGTGACTGGGGTAATGGGTGTATCAGATAAAGTAAGATTGGCCCAGGATAGAGCAGGGTTTAGGACTGTTGGACATAGGGTCAGTGTGAGTCACAGGCAACTCGGCGGCACATGACAACAACAACAACTTATGCTTCATTGACCAGGATATTCACATGATCCCTTCTTTTTTAATTTTTTTTTAAATTGTTATTAATTTCAATGAACATTTACAGAGACCTTGGATCCCTTTCAGCAGCAAGGGGTTCTGCGGAGATGAATACTTTTAATTTCTGCTTTGCATATAACCAAGTAATTGTTAATAGAGAGAGGAAAGAAAGAATGAATGAATAAGTACCTAGCAATCATTCTCTTTCTGAAGCTTGGAATATTGGAAATGCTGGAGAAATGTTGGTATCTTCAAGTAAAGTACATGAATGGAATTGTGGACAATGGCCCTCACCACCCTCCTTCTCTCTGAGGAGGGCTGGTGGCTCATGGAAAAAAGAATAGGATATTACAGAGAAGAAAGTTATTGGGATCTATAACTATTCAATGGAAAGTCCTTTATTAAAAGTTTCATTTTAAAAAGGAATATTTTAGGAAATGTTTGATTTTGAAAACCAAAGTCTGGCTGATAACATGGTATATTGATATAATATTCTATGCTAATATGCATCTCATTTTTCTGTTTTAGTCAAAGAAGTTTGGCAGAGATCACAGAACTTATCCATACGGCTCTTCTTGTGCATCGTGGGATTGTCAATCTAAATGAATTGCAGTCTTCTGATGGGCCACTGAAAGACATGCAGTTTGGAAATAAAATAGCTATCCTGAGTGGAGACTTTCTTCTAGCAAATGCCTGCAATGGACTTGCTCTGCTGCAGAATACCAAGGTAAACCTCAGCCATGTGGGTTGTGTCTAGATGTGACTCTCATCTGACCCCTGGGGCACATTACTTATTTGGTAAAAATGTTAAGGGCTGAGCCAGAGTTCTTAGATTAATTTATATTCTGCCCCCCTCCCCTGTGGATGAAGTTATGTATTAACTATATCAGTACTTATAAATGTTCAAACGAAACATGAGGCACTGGGGTGGTACAGTCTGTACTATGTTGTGTTGGCTAACCAAAAGATCAAGTGTTTTCAGGAGTTCAAATTACCCAGCTGGTCCATGGGAGAAAGATGGGCAATCTCCTGTTAAGATTTGTTGTTTGTTGTTGCTGTGTGCCTTCTAGTTTGAATCAACCCGTAGCTGACTTTCCAGTGGGTTTTCAGAGGCGGTTAATCACAAGGGAAGAATGTACCCAACCCTCTCCCCTCTGAGAAGCTGGTGGATTAGAAAGAACTGCATGCCTTTGGGATTGCAGCACAGCTTACCTCTCAGCCACCAGAGCTCCGCCTGTGAAGCTTTACAGCCTCATAAATCCAGTGGAGGGCCACAGTGAATTGGAAGTGACTTGATCGCAGTGAGTTTGAGTGAAATATTGTCTAAACATAATCACTGTTAATATTTTGGCACATTTCTGTTTAGGCTTTTTTGTTCATACTTTTAACAATCGGGAGGGTTTCTTGTAGGATTGTTGTGGTAGTGCTGGTGTTTTTTAATTTATTTTCTTGCTCTTTTTTTTTAACCTAGATGATTCTTTACTGTGTAGACATTTTGAGAATTTGTTTTTTAACCTTCCCCTCTTATATTCTTAAAAATATTTAGAATTTAAAAAATATTTATAATTAGGAAACCCTATGAACTTTGATAAATGACAGTGATTATAGAAAGGCTTCAGGCCTTTTGTTCATAGGGTCGCTATGAAACATGCTCTACTTGATGGCATTCAACAACTCAATTTAACAGATTTTCTTTGAGCTTGCAAAGTAACTCAATTTAAAAATACGATATATTAGCTGGAGCTAAGAAAAACAGTTCCCTTCACAATAGCTAATAACAAGATTAAATACTTAGGAGTAAATCTAACCAGAAGCACAAAGGATCCATTCAAGGAAAATTACAAAACATTACTACAAGAGACAAAAAAAGACCTGGAGAAGTGGATGAATATCCCTTGCTCATGGATAAGAAGACTCAATATTGTGAAAATGGCAATACCACCAAAGGCAATTTACACGTTCAACGCAATCCCAATACAAATACCAAGCCCATTCTTCAACAAGATGGAAAAGGTAATCTCCAGTTTCATTTGGAATGGAAAGAAGCCCTGAATAAGCAAAGCACTCCTTAAAAATAGAAAAAAGGTAGGAGGCATCTCACTCCCTGATTTCAAATCCTACTACACTGCTGTGGTGGTTAAGACAGCATGGTACTGGTACAATGACAGACACATAGATCAATAGAATAGAATTGAGAACCCGGAATTCAGCCCATCTACTTATGGTCAACTGATTTTTGACAAGGAGATTAAATCAATTAAGTGGGGAAACGACAGCCTTTTTAACAAATGGTGTTGGAAAAATATCTGTGGAAGACTCAAGCAAGATCCACACCTAACTCCATATACAAAAACCAACTCAAGGTGGATCATGGACCTAGGACTAAAACCAAGGACTATAAGCTTCATTAAAGAAAAACTTGGACGAACCATAATAGTCCTAATCCACAACATAAACAGTCTTCCAAGTATCCTAAAAAATCTACAACCAGGAGAAGATAAAATAGATGAATGGGACCTTCTAAGAATCAAATCCTTATACACATCCAAAAACTTCTCCAACAGGGTAAAAAGGGAAGCCACAGACTGGGAAAAAGTATTTGGTAATGACATGTCAGGTAAGGGACTTATATCTAGAATTTATAAAATACTTGAGCACCACAACAAGAAAAAGGTAAATAATCCAATAGGAAAATGGGCACAGGATATGAACAGACACTTCACCAAAGACAACATTCAGATGACCAACAAGACATGAAGAAATGTTCAAAATCCCTAGCTCTGAGAGAGATGCAAATCAAGACAACTATGAGATACCATCTCACCCCTGTCAGAATAGCAAAATTTAACAGAACAGCTAGCAACAAACGCTGGCGAGGTTGTGGAGAGACTGGAACCTTTATTCACTGTTGGTGGGAGTGTAAAATGATACAACCAGTGTGGAAAGTGGTGTGGCGCTTTCTCAGAAAGTTGCAAATAGAGATACCATTTGACCCAGCAATTTCACTACTGGGAATATTTCCTAAAGACACCATAACTGCCATCCAGACAGATATATGCACACCCATGTTCATCGTGGTTTTGTTCACAATAGCAAGGAGTTGGAAACAACCTAAGTGCCCATCAACAAACGAATGGATAGAGAAGCTGTGGTATATTCACACAATGGAATACTATGGTGCATTGAATTTTTTCCTGAAGAATGTGTTTTCAAAAATATGATATTTTAAAATAAAACTAACAGAAAGAGTCATCACAGTTATATTTTATGGCTCATTAATTTAAAATTCTTGATATGTTACTGTTGAGAGTTGTCTTCAGTAGAATTCTCAATAGATTATTATTCAAAATGGGTGACCCTGGAGGACATTATGCTGAGTAAAATACCTCAGTCACAAAAGGACAAATACTGCATGGTGCCACTGCTGTAGAAAGTGACTGACATCAGGGTTGGGGTAAGACTGAGAAAACCTGGATAGATTATGTATACTGAACTGAAACAGATGATGGAGAGAACAGTTTAAAAGTAATATATGATAGCACACTATGATTATCACAGGAATCCAGAATTAAGGTTGCATAGTGGAGTGCATTTGGGGGGGGAGGGGCGGGCCGGGGGCATGGGGATTGTATACCAATGAAGAAGTTTATCTTTTGCTTTTCAAAGAGAGGAGCAAACTGGGGGGAGAAGGGTAAAGAAAAAGGTGCAGCAATGAATGAATGAAAATCCAAAATCTCTGTACTGAATAATTATTCTGTGGGTTTTTTTTAACATTTAAATGACCAATATAAGAAGTTAAATGACCAATATAAGAAGTTCCGTTTGTTTTTATACCTATGGGTATGTTATTTTTCTTTCTTTTGAAACTTTATTTTTACAATTAGTTTTTAGTAGCATTCTGGTGACATTGCCCTGCTAAGTCAAAAGCTATGATTCTTTGGCAGTTTGAATGCACCAGCAGTTCTTTGGAAGAAAGATGGGACAATCTCTTCCTGTGTGATTTACATTCTTGGAAACCTCATGGGGCTGGCGGTGGGGGGTCAACTCTGAGTTGCTTCCGACTCATCCACAAGGAGTTTTTGAGAGTTAATGAACAGGGATCTCTGGTAGCACAATTGGTATCAAGTTTTGTGTTGCTAACTCAGAGGCTGCAGGCAAAAGATGGACAGTCACCTCCTATTATGATTTACACCCTTAGGAACCCGAGAGGGGGTCACTGTGAGTTGAAACCAACTTGATGACAGTCTGGTTTTTTTCAGTAATTTGTCCACCAGTATCAGAAGAGCAGTTGTTGACAAGTGATATTTTTCGAAAATATAAAATGGTAATTATTTTAGCTTTCCCTTTTGCTCTCAAGTGTTGCAATTTGGATGACCAATGGTGTGGTTTCTCTTCTTTACGAACATTTTCCAGAAGTTGTTCATAGTCCTCCTGCTTACATCGCTTTGTCAAGAATTTAATGATATGATGACATCTGTTTGTAAGGGAGGCAAAGCAGTATACTACTTATTATAGGCAACTGGGTGCCCAGGCAAAACCCTGGAAGAAAAGGAGAGTAGACACAGGAGACAAGCAGCACTCTACCCAACCTTCTCACCACGTTTTTGGCTCACACATATTTCCCAGAGATCCACTAATTTCAGGAGAGAAAATAGTCTGCTGCTTTTATCATCCAGTTTACATCTACATGAAAAGGAAACTAAAAGAAGACATGAACTGGCTATATAAAGTAGTATTATAGAGAATCTCAGATCTTCCTCCAGACACTTAATACCATTTGCACATTCTTTCTATTTTGATTCATTCTAAAATTGTTCTCTGCATATAAACCTACTTTGATGGTCTCACTAAATTCTCTAGTACTTACATGTTTGCAGGAAGATAAGTGATTGATTCATTGTCCCTAAGAGCCACTCTGACTATATAGTCCATCTTACTTGTTCGTATGCATATGATATGAAAGGTGTATGCCAAGGATGTGTCCTATCTCCATACCTTTTCAACCTGTATGCAGAACAGATTATCCGAGAGGCTGGACTCTATGAGGAGAAGTGTGGCATCAGGATTGGTGGAAGATCTGTTAACAATCTGCGTTATACAAATGACACAATCCTGCTTGCTGAAACTGAAGAGGACCTGAAATGCTTGCTGCAGAGGGTCTAGGACTGCAGCCTTCAGTATGGATTGAGGCTCAATGTCAAGAAGACAAAGATGCTCACCACTGGACCAATTGGCAGCATCAGGATGGATGGTGAAGAGATTGAGATTGTTAACAACTTCAGTCTGCTTGGCTCCACGGTCAACACTCTTGGCACCAAGAGCCAGGAAATTAAAAGACGTATTGCAATGGGAAAGTCGGCTGTCAGGGACCTCTCCAAAGTATTGAAGAGCAATTGTGTCTCTCTGGAGACTAAGGTGTGTCTGATACAGACCATGGTCTTTGCAGTCACTTGTTATGCATCAGAGTTGGACAATGACTAGGAAGGATAAAAGGAGAATTGATGCCTTTGAGCTGTGGTGCTGGAGAAGAGTATTGAATGTACCATGGACTGCCAAGAAAACAAACAGATTCATCCTGGAGAGAGTTAAACCAGGCTGCTCCTTGGAGGCAAGGATTCTGAGGCTCCGTCTAACATACTTTGGACATGTTGTAAGGAGGGACCAGTCCTTCGAGAGGGACATCATGCTTGGGAGGGTGGATGGACAGCGCAGGAGGGAAAGGCCCTC